CCTTCCCGGGTGATTTAACCATCCAGACTCCGCGTCCGTCCTGTTTCCACCGACTTGAAAAGGCACCGGCAGGGGAATCTCAGCCCCAGCTTCCCGTCTCCTTCCCGCGCCGCAGGTACGCAACCAGCAGAAGTGACCGCAGAAACCTTCACGAGCTTGCGCGGCTGCAATTTTATTATGCAGCGTTTGAGAGCGAGCCGGGGGGGTAGACGAGTAGGGAGACACATCCTGGCACAACCCTGCAAAACAATAACCACCAGAAGAAATAATGCCTGTAGCCTCAGGCAGTCCGCACGCGCAAGTTAAGAAGAAAGTAGAGCGGGAGGGGAGAGGAAAACGCCGGAGATTCTGAGACTCGGGCTCCAGTCGCGTGTGTGTTTCTTTAGCAAAACCCCCAGCAGCCCCCGCCTTCCCTTTAGCCCCTCTGCCTGCCCCAGCCCTGCCACCGAGCCAGCCTTTCTGGCTTGGCTGTTTTTCAGGCGGATCGGTTCCCCATCCCAATCCCAACCCGGATTCACAGTCAAAGCACCGCAACGGAGGGCGGTAGCAGGGACTTGAAGGCTGCCCCCGCCGCTGCTGCTGACTGGAGCAGCACAGCCCCACAGGCGCCCCCGCCACGCCAGGAAGCCCCGTTAGCACCATGTCCCTCATTAGCACTATGTCTCTCAACTCCCGGGATGTTCTTCCTACACCTGCTTCACCAGCACGGCCAAGCCCGCCTCCCGTTCCTAGTTACTTCTCTGGATTATGGTAGCATCCCAAAGCACCGGGTAAGATCGGTGCGTGTCTACGTGAGCAGGAAAAGAGAGTTCATCCTCTGGGCCACACTTAGCCGGGTCTTGGGAGCTGCTGAAGGCGGAGGAGCTGGGCCGCAGCGCTGGCAAGGCTCCGTGTCCCGCTTCCAGCGGGCCGGCTAGCTCAGCACAGAGCCACCCCAGCACTGCTCCCCCTCACAGCATGGCCACAACGGTCCAAGCCCCCAGGACATGCTCAGGGGCTGACCACGGACATAGACCTGCTGCTCCCGGCACCTTTTAGATCGGCAAACCCCACGGACCAGTCTCAAAAAAAAAATCCCTTGACTCGAAGTCAAGGAGCAAAAGCCAGGAGGGGAAAGAGGCTGAGAGGAGTGAGCCAGCTTGCGGTCACCCATCAGGCTTGCACTAGGAAGAGTCAGGGGGTTTAAAATACTGGGGAGACACATCCTGAGATATATATCCACCGCACGCAGCAGGGCCCTCTCATTTGGTTACAGGCTCTCCCCACTGTCTGGATTTATTAAACCGTTGTTGACATTTAGCTCGATACTGCAAGGTCTAAAGCCCCAATCCAAACAGTACAGTCAAGCTGGGGGACAGTGATTGTGAACTGTAAATAAATATCCTTTGAGGGTTCCTAGAAGAGCAGAATGATTTTAAATTATATGTCAAAGGAATGCTTTTGTGCAAGCAGAGTATTAACTGACTACAGCACTGTTACCAGCAGAGGGAAATAATTCAGTACAGATAGCAGGTGTGGAGCACCTTCAAAACTACAGTCTTATCGCCCCTAGACTACTTTGAAAACAATTAATTCAACAGACCGACCTTTTAAACATGGCTGTTGTATGGGCATGACCCGCTTTGTGTGTACAGAGTTGCTGCTGAGGCTGATTATGTTCCTGTTGCAAATTCTCCATTGTCAAGGAGTGAAGTGTAAAACAAGGTTTCTGAGCCAAAGATTGACCCACATACATCATTCCCAAACCTCATGTTTAAAAAGAGAAGTTGGTTTCAGGTAAGCATAGTTTAAAGACTATAAGCAGAAAACAAAATAAAATTAATATATTAGTATTAATGCTGCTCTTTTACTTTGGTCTCCTACAATTGAAGCCTGGATGTTTAGAGTCTTTTCAGACTGCTGTAGCTTAACCTACAGCATAAAACAACTGCTGTGGCAAGACTGGGGATTCGGCGCATAGACTGATGCTTTACACACTCTACTCCCTCCCTAGCCCACTACTTCCCTACCCACCGCAGTTTGTTTAATATTACTGTACAAATGCAGGCACAATGACTGCAAAATGGTTACAGACTGCTGTATCCATAAGCAACGCACCTGATAAGCATCCTCAAGAACATCCTCAGAACAATATTTGGCTCATTACCTATTTATTAAGAATTCATCATCAAGTTTTTAATGTGAATCAAACCCTTTAGGGGCTGAACAACTGCACAGCAAGTACCAGATAGCCTATAAAAGCTGCTTTGTCAACAAGGACGGGGGACCTAGTAGCAGGATCCACCGTGACCCCTGAGCAGGACGGCACACCATTAAGCAGGCTTTGGCACACCCAGTTGTAATGCTCCTCCACAAGCCATCAGAAGTCTAGCATATTAATGATAAAGCCAAGGGCTAGTTAAACTTGGTAACATTTAGGTGAAATTTTATAAAGGAGCTGTTTACTGATAGGTCTCCTCAGTCTTGACTGGGAAAACAAAAAACTCATTCTGGAACCCACAAGAACAAAACCTGATTTTTTGTTTTACTAATAGTAAAGATGTTAATCTCTTAAGTGTAAGAAAACACAGTCATGCTTTGGTGACAAAAACTGGACAGATGGTGCTTTCTCAATATGAGTTTGGCATTTCCGCTACTTACCCCTTTTTTTCTCTGCTTCTCTAAAGACATTACTGACTGTGGGCAGGCTCTTGGCCAGCCCTTACTCTGAAGAGTAAAAGAAAAACCACAGTCTTGAAACTGGAAAGTAAGGGGGTGTTTCCTCCTGCCTGCAGTCAGCCCCTTGGGGTCACTCACCTGGGGAACCTGAACAGCGGGGGAGAGCGCGGAAGTGCTTCCCCCTCCCTGCGCTGTGACACAGCTCGGAGCCATGCGCCTAACTTCAGCCCGGAGAAAACATCTGAGATGGGCAGAAATCTACATCTATTAACACTTCACACAGGGCCACGTGTCCTTATGTGCCTCTTCCAGGTGGCACCAGGACGATGCTTCATGCTCAAAGCCATACTGGGGTGACACGTGCCCGTTGTGAGGGAGCCGTGCTTTCAGCCCCCAGCCAGCCAGGCGGGCAAACAGGCCCAGACAGCAGCCCTGTGGGTCTTCGGGGCTACCCGGATAACCGCCACCTGCTGCAGTCCCAGCCCCGTGTCAAGCTAGCGGCCGTGGGGGCACGGCCCCGGCTCCTTCCTGCCGCCCGTCTTGTGCCGGCCCCGGCGCACACACGGACAGCGACACAGCTGAGGCACAGATGAGCCGGACCAGGTCTCTGCTTACAGGGGAAAAAGTCAAATTGCTTGCTGGGTGAATGCCGATGCCAACACAAAAAAAGGAGGTGGGAAATGGTCAGTGAGGGACAGAGCACGAGACCAGGACCATCCCCTTTTGGGTAGGGGTCTGCACCTGGATGGGCTTCAAGCGACTGCAGACACACTCACTGAATGCCCCACATACCCACCTCTCAGACTGCTACCTCCTGGGGTAAATTTTCGCCCTTTCGGTTAAATCTGGAGTTTATAGGTTAAGTTTGTCAGAAAAAAGATACTGAGGAATGGCACCACTCTAGGGAAAGGAAAAGTGCTTTTCTCACTGGCAGTGAATTCAGGTAACTTATTTGCCAGCAGGTGCATATCTAGATGTATTATGTCGTTGTGTTTAATGTGATTAGGCACAAGGAACAAGCAGTTGGGAGCAGTGTCGAGAGATTAGCAATACAACCCAAAAGAAGCAAGTTTGGTGGAGGGATTTAATGCAGAAGAGGACAGTGTTTAAGGCCTCTAAATTAACTCCCTGTTAAAGCTGTTCTTTACTCTGCATTAATAGGAAGGATTGTGAAATTGATTTCTCTCTTTTTTTTTTTTTAAAATCACTCTTTGCAATCCTCAGTAAAAGAGCTCCCTCCAAATCTTGTTTCCTAGAAAAACAAAGTGGTCCTTCATATGCATAGTTAGTTGCACAGCCTGCGTGGTCCATGTGCTGGCCACGCGTGCGGTGGTTTGTTTTCCTGTGCTGGAAGGAGGGTTCAATCTGGGACACTGAATTATAACATGCCATTTTAAAAGTAATCACCGTTTCAGACCTGACTAGCCCTAGCTCTGTTTACACTAGCAAGTGAGAAAATCTACTCATGGATTATCCCCGCTGCAGTTCTAATAGTCCTTGCACGCCGGCTCGACACTGGCAATTTACAGTCGTCTCCTCCAGCAGCGTTAAATGGTACAGTGAGAATAATACACTGGCCCTGTTTACCCTGGAGATTATGCTGCTGGTAACTTTGATGCTCCCCTGCCACTGCTGAAAAACAGGTACAGAATTTCCTAGTGATGCAT